TACGAAGCATATTCAGAAGATGAGGCCAGAAAAAGAAACTGGGTAAACCCACTGAATAGTCAGAGGCTGATATGTGGACAGTTCCATACTTTATGTGATGAACGTTTATGTGCAAATCCAGATATGTTTGAAAAGTACTATCATATGCCATTACGTGTTTTTCAAGAATTATTACACCACGCAACTTGTAACAAACTGTTGCTTCCCCACTCCCCTTCCTTGCCCTACCCTCACCCCGACCGAAATTCGGACGAGCTTATGAGCATTGAGTCGACAGACAACTCATTTTGCGTTGTCGTGTGGCACCAACTGCCTTTTTGTATGAAACCGAATGCAGCAGAATTTCTGCGACTGAAATTCTGCGACTCACCACTCACAAAATTACGCTCGTTTGGCCTAACCCTTAGGCTATCAGCTGTCAATAGGTACATTAGCTCATCGCGCGTACAATATAGATATCACTATTAGGTGTAATAAAAAAAAATCGATAATAACTACGTGTAAAAAAAGGAGTACGAAAGTGATGCAAGTATAAAATGGCAATGGCATAAAATTCAATGGCAGGCACAGTGTTAAAAAAGAAATTAAAAAAAATAATAGTCTGTATGCAAAATTATTCATATAATACAGTGTAGTAAGAGCAGACGCGGTCACACATCGACGCACGCGCCATCCTTGTGCGCTAACGCAACTTTTTGTCACAATTAACAGTTCCACGCGAGCCTCCGACCAGAGAAAAGTATCACGATATTATGTCGTCTTTAATACCACGAATCAAATTGTCGACTCAATGCCAGTCAAATAATACAAATATTTCCAAAACCGTTAAGTTAAAATAGATGAATAGAGAAAATTGCAAAGAACCGGTAAGGCTGTTGGAGACGAATGATATGGCGATCTAAAAGCGAATAAGTTTTTGCTACTAAAGTTACATAAGCTCCTTACTTAAATTAAAATACTTCAGACGACTAATGTGTATGTCTTACGCGAGTCTCGACCAGAAGTCACCTTGAAGGAACTTACAGACATGAACGAATGTACTGATCTATAATAATAATAATTAGACAAAAAAACACTGTTGATGAGTTTCTTGCCTGCTCTTAACAAACGCTGTATCAAAAAGCTGTACCATTTAAACACAATCTAGAGAGATATTATCTTGTAAACATAAAACAGATTCCAGGCACCGTACAGACAGCTTGCAGCAGCGGTACAATAATTTCCGTCATTACAGTTTTTTTCGCAATCCCATCTACGGATGGATTTAACTCGGGCCATTTGCGTTGATCGCTGTTGCGTGCCGCACATACTGTGCACCATGAGTGTTATAGTATATCATGTCTCACATTTAGACAGATTACGTTGTTAAATTGTTTTTAAATATTTTATATCTAAACATCTTACTCTTACGATGACAAATGACTCGAGTTTGTAAAGGACATCGACGAAATCGGCCCTAGCATGCCCAAAAGAATGTCCTTCACTATTATTTTTCTATTATTTTTTTAACTTATTAGCAATTAATCATTGTAAACGGACAATCTGTTTAAGAAAATAAAAAATAAAAGTTCTGTTACTAGCTACTACAGTCTGTTCATCCAACTTGGCACTCCTTTTTATTGAAAATACAGAATTAAAAATCAACTTATAACTAGATTCAATAGGTTTCAGTCTATAATAACTATTTATTTTACTACTTTATTGGCTTCGTTAATATTTTATTATTAAACGGGTGATTCTGTTAAAAAGTTGTGCCAAGATTGTTTACCTTTATAAATGCAATATAGGCGACCATAAAAATAGAACTAGGTACCTTAGTCAATAATACTTATTGCTAGTATTTATATTATATTTATAAAAAGATTATTTCTGAAATTATGTAAAGATAGTTTATACTCCCATCCCATGTAATATCTGTTTATTTTTATAAAAAATCATATTGATAACCAGTTACATACCTAATTACCGATAGTAAAATATAGATACAGGTAAATGGAAAGACTGAACATTTCATTTGAAAAGAAATCTATTATTACCTACTACAGGTAGGTATAGGTATCATAGGTGCCAACTGCCAACACTCATAAATCAATATTAAGCATTTATTATTTTTATTATTAATTGCATTTTATGTTCATTTAATGTATATTATTTAAGTGCTTACATAGAGGTAAAAACTGAATCTATTCAGAATATATAAAGTGTACATCTTTTACGATTAAGTATAATAATTATAACCTCAAAATCTAATACATTCTGTAGTGGGCCACGGTTCCTCAAGTTGTCCGTATCTCAACAAATGCTTAATTAGAGTTTATGAATGATTCCGGACACAACTAGCATTTTCTCATTGCTGGGCGTTATAGGGCATTCAATGTATGGGGAACGAGCAATGTCCTTTAAAAAGATACTTGTTAGGTAGGTTTATTTTTGCATATGTACCTATTAAAGCCGAGATTAGAAACTATTTTTTTATTTCTAAGTCTCACTACTACAGACCAGAGATTACGGGTATTAATTAAACTATTTTTCTAACTGGTTTAAAATACGATTTTAATACTTTTTTACACTACTCAACGCTTCGCATCTTTATGGTATGCATGGTATGCGGTATGCGTCGTCAAGGAATATATATAAGTAAGATACATAATTAATAAATTATATATAAATAAGAAAACATATTCTTTGGCGACGCATCCTGAAAAGCGATGCGAAACGTCGAGTTATGTAAAAAAATATAAAAAACGCATTTCAAAACGTTAAAAAAATATCTTTATTTATTAATTATACTATCAAATCCTAAAAATAAGATTCAATAATTGGATTAAAAATTTACTATTTTTAAGAATTTAACAGCTAGATGTTTAAATCTTTAAAACAAAAATCATTTCGCGTGTAATTTTTTCTTGTAAAAATTTCTTTAGGTTTACTATTTCTTTATTACGGCATTTTATTTGGTTTTTAATAAATATTTCTACATAAACTAATTTCTTATTTGCTATTGAAAATTTTAATGAAACTTGTCCATCGTATGAATTTAAAGTTCATTAATGGACTTGGCCACAATATACTATTTATTCTGTGTAAGTTGTGGTAAGTTGACATCACCACTTAATAAAATGCAAATCTGGTACAACTTTATCGCGTGTCATTTCCTTAAGGAAATTATAGACCCGAACGAAGTAACGGCGTTACATACATTTATCCTACATGCATTAATTCAAAGTAAATGTATAAGAATGTCACCGGAAGCGGCTGTATTCATCACCCGGAACAAAAAGTGGGCAACCGCTTAATTTACCAAACAGCTCCGATCCAACCCCTGCCACGACCTCAATAGATAAGTGCCGTATAACCGCCTGTGACCCGCTTGTAACTATGATCGCTCAAATTTCCTCAGCCCCAAAATTAGATTGCTCGATATGTGCTCTAGATTTTAGTCAGATATTGAAAACTACTATGGATTAGGGATGATCGATATTCATCGATGTTTAACTGGAAAACATCGATGTTTTAACATCGATGGGTTGACTTCGATATCACGAAACATGTTACTAGAATAAAATTGAAACGTCAATTATTCTTTTTTGCGCCGTCTGGCGTGCATTAGGTGTACTAGCTTCAACTAAATGTTGCATAATCATTAGCGGATGACTATCAAGTTACAACTACATATTTTCGACTAGATGACACGACACTGATCAAAATAATCGGAGTGAGCCCAAATTCGTTTGTAAGAATAAGTTTGTTTTCATTTCTCAAGAGATAAATAAAATACTGACAACTTCAATTACATACACATACACCTACGTTTACTCTCATTATAAAAAATGGAGCGCTTTAAGATGGCCTGTCATCAGAGCCGTGGGGGCCGTTTGCGGAATATTTTATTTCATACAACATGATCTACTTTAGAATCCAATAAAATCATTACATCTCTCTCAAAAAATACGTGTTTATATTTTAATATAAAAAAGTACACTCTTACTGAGACACCCTATCTAATAAATAAAACGTTTCATAAATATAATAGACAGTTTTATTTGTTTACAAAAACATTGATGTTTTAGACATATCGATGTTTTTCTATCGATACTTTTGATTCGATGTCAACATCGATGTTTTTCTAATATCGATCATCCCTACTATGGATGAGTTATCAAAAGAGCGATGACAAACGATAAAGAATTCTATGAAACGATTGGAATAATCCCTAATGGCGGAGCTTTTGGAGGGCAATGTCATTGGTATTTTCATGTTTCATTCTGATAGAATAACCATAAGTTTTTGAAAAGTGGATAAGTATGAAACTGTAGTGTTAACAAATGATTTTAATATGAACTTACATGGTTAACTTAACTTGTTTTCAGAGATCCATAGAGTAGGCTATGCTATGAAGTGTCGTTAAGTAACGTGCCAGTGCTACTTTGTAACATAAGCGCCATTGCTGTAGGCAACTCACCAAAATTTGTTTGCCTCCATACAAGAAAAAAAGTTAACAAAATTTCAACAATTATTGTTGAAATTTTGTGTTCTTTCTTTCTTTACTACTGTACTTTTTTATAATATGCAGTTAATAAATGCTCCTTACTTTTTTACGCCGACTTGAAATAACTTACATTCATGCACGGTTGTACTGCTCTATAATAATAATAATAAATGACCAAAAACACGCTTGCTAAGTTTCTTGCCTGCTCTTTTCAGAGCAAGCTCTCCTGCTATAGGTTTGCTAACTGATGGTATAGTTTTTCAATGTTTTTAAGTGCTTGTCACAGCCTAAATGCTGATTTAGATAATTATTGTTTTGGTTTTATTTTAAAAATTATAGTTTTGATTATTGTATACACATATATATACATAGTTATAGAAGACTTTTGCCTGAAACACAGGCTTATCTAGTTCAGGCTATAGTATAAGTTAAATTGACGATATTGCATTTGAAATGGTACTTAAAGCATATTCCGTGATTGGCAGCGATCCAGGACAGCCGGTGCTACCTGATGAACGGCGGCGCGGTGGAGAGCTTCTTCATCAGCGAGGACACGCCCGTCGGCAGCGTCATAGGTACATTTATTAATTACCAAGGATTTAATGATTTTTTATGTTGGGCAAAACTATTTTTTCCCCCCCGCCCACCAAAAGATCCTCGCCCCTTTTCTCCACCCCTGAGGCTTGCGAAATGAGCGAGTTATCACAACACTACCAGCACTATCTATTAATGAGGGCTACCGTTTTCTGCCTCACCAGATGGCGCCACTGTTGAGTGAGGTCCTAAATTGTAACTTTTAAAGTTTATTAATACGCACATGAAATCAAAGGTTACATTTAGATCGTATTATAACACAAAGGAACCGTATCCTAAACATAATAGACCATGCCACAGTGACGCGCAGTTCCGTTTTATTCGGAAAAAATGGGCACATAATCATTTTTCTAAGCTCAAATTTTTAAGAACTGACATTCATTGCCACATAACTCATATTTATCATAATTAAGCCGAATTTTTACCAATTATTCACAACATTATTTTAATTAGAAATAAACCCGCGTAGTGAACCAACAAGCAATAACATTTGACATTTCGGAGACCTCACGCTACACTAGCGCCTCTAGCGGCGGATTCATACGCGATAGCCCTCATTCTTTCTGTATATGCGTAGCGCCATCTATTGAAGGCTCTATAAAACGCACACCTGTAATTGCAACCCCCACTGATGCTACTACATCTCAGCCACTTTCTGCATGCCTACCTTACTGAACCTATCAGAATAAGAATATTATTTCGTCCAACCAAACCAATAATTATTTTTATAACCAAAGTAAATCGAAAACCTCTCACTTTTAACAATTACATGTCAGTAAAAAAACTTTTTTACTAACTTTTCAAGTTAGTAAGTGCATCAAGGTGTCACTGTGACCCGGTGCTAAAATTTCACGCACTTCATAAACCATTTAGCAAGACCTCGTATATTTTGCAGTTTACTCCTTAAGAATCGATTTGCATATATAAGTGGCCCGGTATGAGAAAAATGTGAGGAGTAAAATCTATCGATGAATGACCTCGTTACGTTTTTGGTGCGCATTAGCGATGGGCGTTGAATTAACGAACGGTTTAAATAGACGGTCTACGTTCAATCGACGCTTCGACGGCCTACAGTTTATTCGTTAACTAGTTGAATTCATAGACGGCTAAACTGAGAGTCCACAGCGTTCATATCTACTGACAACGCGACGTCGACGCGTAAACGTATCTGGTTTACCGGTTACAAGTCCATACGTTCGTTCATTGCTTGAAATAAAGCAATTTGAAACGTAAGCATATGGAGTGGGAGTTGATATTTGTTCGTTTTTTAAACTAGAGTTGTTAGAGTGAAAAGGCAAGAGTATTCTGATATTGCGTGAAAGAGTACGTCGATGGATCTGGCTAAACGATGCAGTGCAGGATGAACGGGTTTATAATAATTGTTTTCCTCAAGTAGTTGCAGTTTTGTTTATTGAAATTTGAAATTAGTGTGTCGCGAGGTCAAGGTCAAGGGACACGTGAATACGAATTTAGTGCAAAGTTCGTTTGAATTGAATGATTATTTTATGAGTTTAATATGTAATTTATTTTGTAAACATTTAAATGACTATAATGTAAAGTGAATACTAAATAAAGACCCCGTCGTCGTCGTTGCGTCGCGCCCGTAGACCAGTCACCGCGTAGTTGATATGAACCCCTCAACGCTTGCCGTTGTCACGTCAACTAGTTGAAGGATTCAACTAGTTGATCGACTAGTCGATGGACGGTAGTGGACGGTTTAGTTTCGTCGATGAAAAATACGTCGACGACCCACCTCTAGTGCGCATCCTGTTCGAGCCAAAATGACTCTTAAATCCGAGAGCTTAGTTGCAAAAGAATTAAATTAAAACTACAGTGTATTTTGTTAGACCATAGATTTCTTTATTAGTTAGGTGACGTTTTGCCTATATGTAGCTCCAAACATAATATTTTGTGACGTGATGCAACGAACTACAGAGCCATCTATTTTGATACATATGAACTAAAATTTTAAATGCAAAAATGGCGTATACATACGCCCACCAAGGACAAACTGTGATTTGTCCTTACAAATATTTAACTTAACAACATGACTCTGTTATCGCCCACCATGACTTAAGGTAACAAAACAAAACATAATTTATCATCAACATTCCTAACGATATATGTATGCACATCTGAAATTGACTATTGTAAAAAGTTTAATGTAAAATATTTCGTCGATTAGTTATAATAAATGTATACATATGAAATGAATATATATTTATATTATGTATTTTCATTAATTTGTTAATTTACCCTTTCATACAGTATCAACCTTTTTTAAGTTAAATAAACTCTTTTTGCGTCTGGTTAGACTATCGAACTTCAGTCCAGTCGTGCGTCGGAGCTGACACACACAATTTTTTTTTTACGTATTTGGTTATCAGGCACTCTGAGCGTGAATGGCGACCCGAGCGAGGCGGGCGACATCACGCTGCGGCTGCAGGAGAGCAACGCGGCTGTGGCGGTGGCGGCCGGCACCAAGAACCTCACGCTGAGCCGCGCGCTCGACCGCGAGGAGGCGCGCGGGCCCTCCAACGTGTATGTCAACGTGCGCTGTGACCGGCGACGCACCACAGACCCGGTATGATCAACAACCTCACGCTGAGCCGCGCGCTCGACCGCGAGGAGGCGCGCGGGCCCTCCAACGTGTATGTCAACGTGCGCTGTGACCGGCGACGCACCACAGACCCGGTATGATCAACAACCTCACGCTGAGCCGCGCGCTCGACCGCGAGGAGGCGCGCGGGCCCTCCAACGTGTATGTCAACGTGCGCTGTGACCGGCGACGCACCACAGACCCGGTATGATCAACAACCTCACGCTGAGCCGCGCGCTCGACCGCGAGGAGGCGCGCGGGCCCTCCAACGTGTATGTCAACGTGCGCTGTGACCGGCGACGCACCACAGACCCGGTATGATCAACAACCTCACGCTGAGCCGCGCGCTCGACCGCGAGGAGGCGCGCGGGCCCTCCAACGTGTATGTCAACGTGCGCTGTGACCGGCGACGCACCACAGACCCGGTATGATCAACAACCTCACGCTGAGCCGCGCGCTCGACCGCGAGGAGGCGCGCGGGCCCTCCAACGTGTATGTCAACGTGCGCTGTGACCGGCGACGCACCACAGACCCGGTATGATCAACAACCTCACGCTGAGCCGCGCGCTCGACCGCGAGGAGGCGCGCGGGCCCTCCAACGTGTATGTCAACGTGCGCTGTGACCGGCGACGCACCACAGACCCGGTATGATCAACAACCTCACGCTGAGCCGCGCGCTCGACCGCGAGGAGGCGCGCGGGCCCTCCAACGTGTATGTCAACGTGCGCTGTGACCGGCGACGCACCACAGACCCGGTATGATCAACAACCTCACGCTGAGCCGCGCGCTCGACCGCGAGGAGGCGCGCGGGCCCTCCAACGTGTATGTCAACGTGCGCTGTGACCGGCGACGCACCACAGACCCGGTATGATCAACAACCTCACGCTGAGCCGCGCGCTCGACCGCGAGGAGGCGCGCGGGCCCTCCAACGTGTATGTCAACGTGCGCTGTGACCGGCGACGCACCACAGACCCGGTATGATCAACAACCTCACGCTGAGCCGCGCGCTCGACCGCGAGGAGGCGCGCGGGCCCTCCAACGTGTATGTCAACGTGCGCTGTGACCGGCGACGCACCACAGACCCGGTATGATCAACAACCTCACGCTGAGCCGCGCGCTCGACCGCGAGGAGGCGCGCGGGCCCTCCAACGTGTATGTCAACGTGCGCTGTGACCGGCGACGCACCACAGACCCGGTATGATCAACAACCTCACGCTGAGCCGCGCGCTCGACCGCGAGGAGGCGCGCGGGCCCTCCAACGTGTATGTCAACGTGCGCTGTGACCGGCGACGCACCACAGACCCGGTATGATCAACAACCTCACGCTGAGCCGCGCGCTCGACCGCGAGGAGGCGCGCGGGCCCTCCAACGTGTATGTCAACGTGCGCTGTGACCGGCGACGCACCACAGACCCGGTATGATCAACAACCTCACGCTGAGCCGCGCGCTCGACCGCGAGGAGGCGCGCGGGCCCTCCAACGTGTATGTCAACGTGCGCTGTGACCGGCGACGCACCACAGATCCGGTATGATCAAAAACCTGTCGTTTATCTGCGGGAAAGGCTCGTATCCCGCGTTTGATACGATATTATAAGGATGCTGATTACTTTTTTGGAGTTTACTCCTTAAGAATCGATTTGCATATATAAGGGGCCCGGTATGAGAAAAATGTGAGGAGTAAAATCTATCGATGAATGACATTAAGACCTCGTTACGTTTTTGTGCGCAACCTTATCTGCGCACCTTTCACTTTTAGCCATGGCAACGGATAAAAAACATTAAGTTGTCACAAATGTCAATAAAATAAATAAACTAAAAATAGATAAAATCGGAGCAAAATTAATGAAAACAAATGAATAACGGAATATAGAGAAATGCCGGTAAGTGTCCAGCACTCTGGAATAGTGATTTTCAGTACAGATGGAATTATAATACACATTTACAAAATGATGACTAGTGTGTGATATTTTTGAAATTGTGTTTCCAGAAATTCATAATAAAATATATGATGAATATCGCTGATGTTAGATGATAAAATGTGTGACATGGAACCTATGATAGTCGAAACCATGGGACGATTCCTGAGGTATCTCTACTTGTAACCGACTTCTTCGGACTTGATTTTGTTTTGTGTCTGTTCAAAGACAATCGTTTTTAGAGTGTAAACTCCGGTCGTGCGTCGGAGCTGACACACACAATTTTTTAGTTATTTTATGACGAATTCTCTTTAAGGAGATCACTGCTTTTGCAATGTTTCATTAGGAGAATCCTTATTTAAATTGAAAAGCATTATCAAATTCGTTTTTGCTGGCAGAGCTTCATAATACCGGTGTCGGTGCGCGTGTGGGACGTGAACGACAACGCGCCGGCGTGGGTGGGCGCGCCCTACCGCGTGCGCCTGTCCGAGCTCACGGCGCCCGGCTCCCGCGTGCTGCACCCGCGCGCCCACGACGCCGACCAGCCCGGCCCGCACGCCACCATACACTACTCCGTGCTGCCGGCAGCCCACAGCGTGAGTCCCCCACACTACACCTACACTACACCTACACTACACCTACCGCGCGCGCCTGTCCGAGCTCACGGCGCCCGGCTCCCGCGTGCTGCACCCGCGCGCCCACGACGCCGACCAGCCCGGCCCGCACGCCACCATACACTACTCCGTGCTGCCGGCAGCCCACAGCGTGAGTCCCCCACACTACACCTACACTACACCTACACTACACCTACCGCGCGCGCCTGTCCGAGCTCACGGCGCCCGGCTCCCGCGTGCTGCACCCGCGCGCCCACGACGCCGACCAGCCCGGCCCGCACGCCACCATACACTACTCCGTGCTGCCGGCAGCCCACAGCGTGAGTCCCCCACACTACACCTACACTACACCTACACTACACCTACACTACACCTACACTACACCTACCGCGCGCGCCTGTCCGAGCTCACGGCGCCCGGCTCCCGCGTGCTGCACCCGCGCGCCCACGACGCCGACCAGCCCGGCCCGCACGCCACCATACACTACTCCGTGCTGCCGGCAGCCCACAGCGTGAGTCCCCCACACTACACCTACACTACACCTACACTACACCTACACTACACCTACACTACACCTACCGCGCGCGCCTGTCCGAGCTCACGGCGCCCGGCTCCCGCGTGCTGCACCCGCGCGCCCACGACGCCGACCAGCCCGGCCCGCACGCCACCATACACTACTCCGTGCTGCCGGCAGCCCACAGCGTGAGTCCCCCACACTACACCTACACTACACCTACACTACACCTACACTACACCTACACTACACCTACCGCGCGCGCCTGTCCGAGCTCACGGCGCCCGGCTCCCGCGTGCTGCACCCGCGCGCCCACGACGCCGACCAGCCCGGCCCGCACGCCACCATACACTACTCCGTGCTGCCGGCAGCCCACAGCGTGAGTCCCCCACACTACACCTACACTACACCTACACTACACCTACACTACACCTACACTACACCTACCGCGCGCGCCTGTCCGAGCTCACGGCGCCCGGCTCCCGCGTGCTGCACCCGCGCGCCCACGACGCCGACCAGCCCGGCCCGCACGCCACCATACACTACTCCGTGCTGCCGGCAGCCCACAGCGTGAGTCCCCCACACTACACCTACACTACACCTACACTACACCTACACTACACCTACCGCGCGCGCCTGTCCGAGCTCACGGCGCCCGGCTCCCGCGTGCTGCACCCGCGCGCCCACGACGCCGACCAGCCCGGCCCGCACGCCACCATACACTACTCCGTGCTGCCGGCAGCCCACAGCGTGAGTCCCCCACACTACACCTACACTACACCTACACTACACCTACCGCGCGCGCCTGTCCGAGCTCACGGCGCCCGGCTCCCGCGTGCTGCACCCGCGCGCCCACGACGCCGACCAGCCCGGCCCGCACGCCACCATACACTACTCCGTGCTGCCGGCAGCCCACAGCGTGAGTCCCCCACACTACACCTACACTACACCTACACTACACCTACCGCGCGCGCCTGTCCGAGCTCACGGCGCCCGGCTCCCGCGTGCTGCACCCGCGCGCCCACGACGCCGACCAGCCCGGCCCGCACGCCACCATACACTACTCCGTGCTGCCGGCAGCCCACAGCGTGAGTCCCCCACACTACACTGCCGCCACTACACCTACACTACACTTACACTACACCTACACTACACCTACCGCGCGCGCCTGTCCGAGCTCATGTAAGATGCGCTCGTGCCTCAGATGTAGTCCCAAACTCTTTTTAAGAATGAAATTATTACGGTAAACAGTATATATACTTAAAGGTTAAGGCCCCTCTTTTAGATAATAAATGTAATTGTAGACCCTGTCCGATTTATCTTCTGTTCGTTCATCAAAACTTAAAGACCTTTAATGTTAATAGGAATATCTCGGCTTCCTCAACGAGCTCGATAGCGTGATAGTGGTGAAGAAACCCCTAGACTACGAGACGTTGAAGAACTTCACGATAACGTTGCGCGCGCAGGACCAGGGCACCCCGCCGCTCCACAACGACACCACACTCGAGGTGGAAGTCCTCGACGCTGACGACCAGAACCCCAAGTTCTCGCACGAGCACTACTCAGCGATCATATCTGATGATGCGGAACCGGTAAAGATAAATACTCATCAGTATCCCTTCTTTTAATCTGATGATTCTTGATATTAAGTATACAATATGACCAAGACTGGTAGCAATAGGTATGATAGTTCTTCTAGCCCAATACTCTGATACTCTCAAGATGGCACCAGTAACAAAACTGATGAATCGACAACATTGTACCTTAAAAATTACTGTATATCCAGTTATTTTCAATGGGTCAACAACAAAAATAAGTAGCCACATTAAAAGGGCCTCCACACCTAAATCCGAACCTGGGTACTTTCGCTGTAATGACTTCAATTACAATTAGTAACTGCAGTTTAAAGGGTGAGATTGGTTGTTGTGGTTTGCGGTCCGGCCACATCGGCTGGATCGGATGCTACGATGACTAATATTTATTACCAGAATGTCAGGGGTTTGCGGACGAAGACGGTGCAGTTTAAAAGAAACATTCAACTTCACAACTATGATGTTATATTACTAACAGAAACATGGTTATTGGACGGTATAAACAACGACGAGTTGTTCAGTGACAAGTACACGGTATGGCGTCGCGACCGAGACTACTCGACTGTGGGACAGACGCGTGGAGGTGGAGTCCTTATCGCTCTGCGCCGCGACTTAACGGTGTCCGCACGGCCTGAATGGCATTCAACTGCGGAGGATATATGGGTTTCTCTTAGAATTGGCTCAAAAAAAAAAGGACTGGCCCCTATTAACGTACATATTGTATGTATATATTTATGTCAACAGCATCATGGACTATCTTTTTCCACACAATTATCAAACTTTTGCAACAAAGTTTCATCAATTTATACAAATAACCCCCAAGATAAATATATAATCGCTGGAGATTTCAACTTAAGCGATATATTGTGGTCGTTATCTGACGGCGTTCAGTATTTAAGTCCATCGTTTCGCTCTAATAATATTAATCATAATGAATTAAAAGACTTAATGCATTTTTGTGATTTGAGCCAATTTTACAGTGTCAGAAATCACCTAAATGGCATACTCGATTTGATTCTGTCTAATGGAGATTTAGCGGTTCATCACTGCAATGACCCTCTAGTAGACGAGGACTCTTATCATCCTGCCCTAATCTGCCAATGTAATTTTCTCGATATGGCGACCTTAAGCCCCAAATCATACCTAAAATATTTTTACAATAAAGGTGATTATTCTGCTATATGCCATGAACTTGATAATTATGATTGGGATACCATATTATCATGTGAGTCACTCAATGAAGCACTGACAAGATTCAATCAAATATTGTCTAATCTTAGAGACATATATATACCCTTTAAATATGTGAACCCCAGCCGTTACCCAGTATGGTACTCACCAGCTTTGAAAAAAATTCTAAAAGAAAAAAACAAGCTGCATATTAAATATAAGACCTACGGCAATAAGGTCGACGGCATCGCATTTAACATTCTGCGTCAGAGAGTGAAAAAAGTGGAACAGGATTGTTATAATAAGTACGTAGAAAATACTGAAAATAGTTTACGTGATAACGCTAAGGTTTTTTGGTCATATGTAAAAAAGGAAAAGAGCTCTTATCCTTCATCTATGTTGTATAACAACACTACTATGACCCACGGTGATGACATTTGCAATGCATTTGCAGAATTTTTTCATTCTTCTTTTTTAACATCGCTTTCCCAGTCGAATACCGATTTAGATAATTTAATTGGACCTGATATTACACCATCTACTGCCGAAATCTCCACGATTGAAATTACACATGATCACGTTTTCAAGTTGTTAGTCTCGTTGGATCGTAAAAAGTCTGCGGGACCTGACGGTTTGCATCCGATTCTGATCTCCAGAAGTGCTCGTAGTTTAACCTCACCTGTAACTTACTTATTCAAACGTTCTATTGGTGAGGGCGTGGTACCAGCGATCTGGAAGACAGCAACTGTTACTCCTATTCACAAGAAGGGATCAAAGCTTGAGGTTGTTAACTATAGACCTATATCCAAACTATGTGTCTTAGCTAAGGTACTGGAAAAAATTGTACACGGCCAAATATACACAGCCCTCAAAAATACATTTCTTCCACAGCAACACGGTTTTTTAAAAGGCAGATCTACAGTGACCAACCTCTTATCGTTCTTGGAGGAGGTGACTAATGGAATGCAGTCGGGTGGGCAAGTTGATGCAATCTATACTGATTATAGCAAGGCATTTGATCGGATTGATCACGTGTTACTGCTCAGAAAGCAACAATCAGCGGGTATACGCGGAAATCTTTTCCGGTGGTTAAGTTCTTATGTTGCCAATCGATGCCAAACGGTCGTTCTTAACGGTTTCTCTTCCCACTCACGTTTCTCGGCCATTCCATCTGGTGTACCACAGGGATCCATTTTGGGTCCTCTTCTATTTATTATATTTGTTAATGACATTAATATATGCTTCGAACACTCACAAATACTACTATTTGCAGATGACATGAAAATTTTCAGAAAGATTGGCTCAATTCACGATTGTGTACTTATGCAACAGGATCTCGTTAGGCTACAGGACTATTGTCTTGCAAATAAACTTGACCTTAATATATCTAAATGTAATTGTATTACTTTCAGTAGATCTCAAAATATCCTCCACTTCAACTATAAAATTAATATGCAGTCATTACAGCGTACAGGTTACATAAAGGACCTGGGCGTAATCTTTGATTCGAAACTCCTTCTAGATAGGCACATTGATAATATAACATCAAAAGCCATGAAAATGTTAGGGTTTATATTCAGATCAACCAAAGATTTTAAAATAGCAAAATCATTAAAAATTTTATATTGCTCTTTGGTAAGAAGTCACCTGGAATACGCATCCCAGGTCTGGAATCCTCACTATGATTGTTATATTAATCAATTAGAAAAGATCCAAAAAAAGTTCCTGAAGTTTTTAAACTTCAAATTTGGGTTAAGTCCAGGTCCAAATTATATTTTTAACTGCCAACGACACCATCTTCTTCCATTAAGTAAGCGTAGAGAAGCTGCGGACTTAACATTTTTCCACAACTTAATTCTCGGCAAGATAGACAGCAATGAGCTGCTATCATTGGTTAAAATCCAGGTACCATTCCGTACAGTTGCCAGACGTAATTATCTACGATTCCATACTGATTTATGTTCCACAAATTATAGACAGAATTCCTACTTTAATAGAGTAAAACAAAATTTCAATAATAATTATTCAAGTGATGTGGACGTATTCCTGGCGAAACAAAATTATTTCAAAAAGATTGTGAATAGTATTTTTTTTAATAATAATAATAAAACCTAATTTAAATTAAATTACTTTATATTTCTATCACCATTTTCTCTGTGGGTATGGCTTTATGCTTAATTTTTTATTTCTGTGTTTTTATTTTTATATAGTTTTAAGTTAATCTACGGCCTCGATTGGATTAAGTATATTTTATTTGAGTTGTATTTGTGAAAACTGTATAAGGCATATCAATGCTACATCATCTCGTTTTATCCTTAGTTTTAACATGCTGTTTGTTTTCCATGAATAAATAAATAAATAAATAAATAAATAAGTACCAGCCGCTATCTGAGTGAATGTACTTCACACAACACCCATTCTTCCTTAATTATATCATTAATATTTAGCAGCTTTTAATTTTTAATTCCTTAATCAGGGCACGATTCTGGAGACCTCCCCCGGCCCTATCAGTGCGGTGGACCAAGACGTAGGCATTAATGCTCCACTGCAGTATTCCGCAACTGGCGACCATCGCCAGCTAGTCAGCGTTGAGAAAGACACAGGACGAGTGGCCGCCACTGCAGATCTGCTGCGGCACCAAGCGCCACTCACCGTCGTTATCAAGGTACGGCGTGAACAGTACGCGGCATCAATGCGCCGGTACAGTACTTTACAACCGATGACCACTTCTAACTAGTGACTATTGAGAGAGACACCAAGCGCACTCACCGTTGTCGTCAAGGTAGGGCGTGAACAGTACGCGGCATCAATGCCGCGGTACAGTACTTTACAACCGATGACCACTTCTAACTAGTGACTATTGAGAGAGACACCAAGCGCACTCACCGTTGTCGTCAAGGTAGGGCGTGAACAGTACGCGGCATCAATGCGCCGGTACAGTACTTTACAACCGATGACCACTTCTAACTAGTGACTATTGAGAGAGACACCAAGCGCACTCACCGTTGTCGTCAAGGTAGGGCGTGAACAGTACGCGGCATCAATGCGCCGGTACAGTACTTTACAACCGATGACCACTTCTAACTAGTGACTATTGAGAGAGACACCAAGCGCACTCACCGTTGTCGTCAAGGTAGGGCGTGAACAGTACGCGGCATCAATGCCGCGGTACAGTACTTTACAACCGATGACCATTTCTAACTAGTGACTATTGAGAGAGACACCAAGCGCACTCACCGTTGTCGTCAAGGTAGGGCGTGAACAGTACGCGGCATCAATGCGCCGGTACAGTACTTTACAACCGATGACCACTTCTAACTAGTGACTATTGAGAGAGACACCAAGCGCACTCACCGTTGTCGTCAAGGTAGGGCGTGAACAGTACGCGGCATCAATGCGCCGGTACAGTACTTTACAACCGATGATCACTTCTAACTAATGACTATTGAGAGAGACACCAAGCGCACTCACCGTTGTCGTCAAGGTAGGGCGTGAACAGTACGCGGCATCAATGCGCCGGTACAGTACTTTACAACCGATGACCACTTCTAACTAGTGACTATTGAGAGAGACACCAAGCGCACTCACCGTTGTCGTCAAAGTAGGGCGTGAACAGTACGGGGCATCAACGCCCCGCTGAAGTACTTTGTAACTGGCAACCACCGCCAGCGAGTCAAACTTGAAAAAGATACAGGCAGGCGCGGCTTCCTGTTGTGATCAAGGTAAATGCTAGATTCTAGGAATCACTATCCAAAATACTTTCATATCTGTGCTGCGAATTTTGAGAAAGTTTTTGGAGTTTACTCCTTAAAAATCGTTTTGCATATATAAGGGGCCCGGTATGAGAAAAATGTGAGGAGTAAAATCTATCGATGAATGACCTCGTTACGTTTTTGGTGCGCATCCTATGTCGCGCAACTTTGACAAACAAAGATGACGGATTGACATTAATAACCATAAACCACTTGTCACTGTAATTAATAATGCAGACAATGTTGATTTAATTAATATTTAAAAAAATGATAATAGTCTGATAATAATAATTACGTAATTTATCAACATTCCTAATGATATATTTATGCACATCTGAAATTGACTATTGTAAAAAGTTTAATGTAAAATATTTCGTCGATTAGTTATAATAAATGTATATGAAATGAATAAATATATATTTATATATGTATATTATTTTCATTAATTTGTTAATTTACCCTTTCATACAGTATCAATCTTTTTTAAGTTAAATAAACTCTTTTTGCGTCTGGTTAGACTATCGAACTTAAGGAGTAAACTCCAGTCGTGCGTCGGAGCTGACACACACATTTTTTTTTCTATAATAATTTAAGAAGTTCTGTATTATCAGTCTGAATTTCCTATCGTTTACCAGTCAGCCTATTAATGTTGTTTGACTTTCCCTATGCATGACATAGGGAGAATAGCTGTGACTCACGACGCGGTGTGTGAGTGATGGGTGCTAACGACTGCTGTTGCAGACGGCTTCAGCATCTAAACGACTTCCGATTTCCGAAGCACGGAGAGGCTCAAGATAATAAATTTCTGGTCGTCCGTTAGAGCTGAATGGCGCGAGTGGTAGCGCATATTCTGTTGAATGTTAACATGCAAATATTAGAGACTTATAACTAGCTACAGCTTTGGCTGCCAGTCAATAATAACGTGATATTGTTACGTGTCGGGATGGGGTTCGAAATTATATGCCAGTTCACGCTGGACAGTTCTTTATTCACCACTCAGTTCACACAATTAACACACAATGTTAATTACAAAACACTCACTAAACACTGTATTTCACTATACAAGTCACTAAATTATCGCACTGGAATAATTTTGTTGCACTTTGATTGCCTTTGGATTCGCTCCGAAATCGCTGTTGAAACTCAACTGTCTCTGCGCGGCGCCAATCGTGCTTATATACGCCGATCGAAGCATTCTAGAAAGTACCTGTTAAATTGAGAATTACCTAGCACTCGCTAGTACGAAATACCTACTTATACCTACGCAGGTAACACGCATAACACGTAAACAAGTGCAGATGTCGTTGCACTTTCTCCCGTACGTCGCACTGGATAAGGCTCATTTTAGAATGAGCCGCATTACTCGACCTCTATCGCGACCCGCGGTGATCTGGCAAATTCGATCTCTGGTGGCAAATTCGATCTCTGGCACTTTCGCGGTTACGTTTCGAGAGCGTTTGTGACAATCATCATCATCATCAACAACCCATGTTCGTCCACTGCTGGACATAGGTCTCCCCTAAGGGGGGTTTGGACCATAACCCACCACGCTGGTCCAGTGCGGGTCGGTGGGTGGTTTCGCCAGGGCCTCGTCTGTTGTACAGCAGGACGCACCGCTTGCAGGGGAGGTTGGCTTGGGACCCTAAAGATGTTGTGTGGGCCCCCTTGCGCCTCAATTTGTGACAATATCATGACCTATTTCAGGCGACGCAAGTGGACAACCCGGACCGGTATGCTCTGGCGACGCTCTCCCTGAGCCGGCTAGCCACAGCGGCGCCGGCGCGGCCGGTCCGGTTCACGCGGCGCCTCTACCACGCCGCCGTGCCCGAGGACACCGCGCCCGGAGCTCGCTTGCTGCATCTACATACGGACCCGCCCGCTGAGCGCCACGAGGTGACCCGTCTGCACTCTGCTTACAATACACTACACAACACTACAGTATTGTATTATCATCATTAACCCTAATGTCCCTACTGCTGAGCCAAAGGCCTACCTAGACATGAATGGAATAGGGAAATTGGGCCATGATGCCTGCCCATTGTGAGCAATATACCACACTATACTGAACTACACAATGTATTAAGTATTTTGCTAACGTCGGCGCTGCACGCGACTCGTAATGCCTTTTATTAAGTGAATTGAACAGTAGCAATAAATTACTCGTACAAACAACATCGTTTTATCATTTGACATAACAACATTTTCGGGATAGTTTTTCGGAACCTATCATAACAGTATCAAGCAACTAAAGGTGTCCCAGACAGATACATTGTGCGTTTTTATGACTGGGGGGTATTCCTCCTTCTCCCAGATCCCGCCCACCCACTTACCCATGGGTATAGCTCAATGGGAGATAGGGATGAAGAAGAGAAACCCTACCCACTAAAACTACTACAATGTCGTTTTACGAATCGGTTTTGTAGTATGCAGAGACATTCCACACCGACAGAGGTTCAGTACACTTATATACAGTTTTGGTAGACTGCTTCATAAAATATTGTTAAAGTATGCAACTTCTAAAGTCCCCAGATATATTTTTTATAAAGAAAATCATAAAAGCGTTGTTGATCAATGAACATGAATATTTCCGTATGATGCAGGCGTCCCTACAGTTCTACGTGTCGGACCGCAGCTTCCTGGAGAAGTTCGCGATCAACAGCGCGGGCGAGGTGCTGCTGCGGCGACCGCTGGACTACGAGACCACCGACGCATACAACTACCAGGTCATGGTCACTGACGGGGACTCGGTGAGTTCAATTACCAAATTAAAGGCTAACCAAAGCAAGTCAACCCATGTCACATTTACCCTCAGAAGAGAAACTTAAATGGCGAAGAAATCCCTCAGGAAGAACATGCAAAATATCTAGGTATGCACTTGGACAGGAGACTCGCATGGCAAAAGCACATATGGACTAAACGAAAGCAACTGAATATAAAACTGCGTAATTTATACTGGATGATAGGTCGGCACTCACGGCTGAGTCCTGAAAGCAAAATTATAGCATACAAAGCCATCTTGAAACCAATATGGACCTACGGCATACAGCTATGGGGTACAGCCAGCAATAGTAATATCGAAATACTTGAAAGATTCCAAACGAAAACACTGAGAGCAATGTTTAGTATTCCACACTATATAAGCAACAAATACATTTATCATGATATAAAAATAAAAACCGTCAAATAAGAGATCACCAACAACAGTATAAAATATCAAGAGAGATTATCTAGACACAAGAATGCACTAGCCGTAAAACTAGGTGGATGTGGATCTCTACAGCACACAAGATTAAAAAGACATAGTATCCCTACACTCTTAGATAGATTCTGCCACAGGAAGTGAAAGTCACCCAACAATTTGGAAAGGCTCACCGCGTTTAAACAAAATAAAGATAAATTATCAGACAAAAGCAGGGCTTATTGTTGTTAAAAACAGATAGCCATGATGCAGAATAAGAAAGGAAAAAAAATCCTAGCTGTGGAAAAAAGTTTAAAGAAGTCGCGAATATCCTTGGGATTTTCCGAAAACGCGGATATAATTAGTTGGTAGTGACATTCCTCAATCTTACTGAAAAAAGATTGGATTTTTGCGAAAACTCGAGTCGCCTTACGAAAATAATCGTTGGCTTATTATAATATTCTTAGGTGTTTAGGTCCTTGGGTTCACATTAGCTTAGGTCAGGTTAGCATTGTGACTATGACGCTCGAGCTGAGCGATCCTAGCGAACGTACCGCGGCAGTGTCTTCAAGATGTATGTACGATTTCGCAACCAAACTATAAAATGTAGTTAGGTAAAATAACGATTTCTCGCTGGTCAATATTACGTAATTTGTAAATTAGAGTCAATTAACCGGTGACCACCAACTTATAAATTTTTTGGTCCCTCGAGTCAGATCTGAGCTATGTATGTTGCTTTTCCTGACGAGTGCTTAATCTGAATTTTTTACTGTTTCGTGTGACACAGAACGACACGGCTGCGATCAACATAACGGTGCTGAACGTGAACGAGTGGGAGCCGCGGTTCCGGTACCCGCAGTACGAGTTCCACGTCGACGGGGAAGCGGGAGAGGGAGGCGGGAGGCTGCCGGTGGGGCGCCTCGACGTGTACGATGGTGACCGCCCTGATACTGTGGCGCTCACGCTGCGCGGCCCTGACGCAGGGTGAGTTCCTACGCGGACGGGGAGGGGGGAGGCTGCCGGGGGGGCGCCTCGACGTGTACGATGGTGACCGCCCTGATACTGTGGCGCTCACGCTGCGCGGCCCTGACGCAGGGTGAGTTCCTACGCGGACGGGGAGGGGGGAGGCTGCCGGGGGGGCGCCTCGACGTGTACGATGGTGACCGCCCTGATACTGTGGCGCTCACGCTGCGCGGCCCTGACGCAGGGTGAGTTCCTACGCGGACGGGGAGGGGGGAGGCTGCCGGGGGGGCGCCTCGACGTGTACGATGGTGACCGCCCTGATACTGTGGCGCTCACGCTGCGCGGCCCTGACGCAGGGTGAGTTCCTACGCGGACGGGGAGGGGGGAGGCTGCCGGGGGGGGCGCCTCGACGTGTACGATGGTGACCGCCCTGATACTGTGGCGCTCACGCTGCGCGGCCCTGACGCAGGGTGAGTTCCTACGCGGACGGGGAGGGGGGAGGCTGCCGGGGGGGGCGCCTCGACGTGTACGATGGTGACCGCCCTGATACTGTGGCGCTCACGCTGCGCGGCCCTGACGCAGGGTGAGTTCCTACGCGGACGGGGAGGGGGGAGGCTGCCGGGGGGGCGCCTCGACGTGTACGATGGTGACCGCCCTGATACTGTGGCGCTCACGCTGCGCGGCCCTGACGCAGGGTGAGTTCCTACGCGGACGGGGAGGGGGGAGGCTGCCGGGGGGGGCGCCTCGACGTGTACGATGGTGACCGCCCTGATACTGTGGCGCTCACGCTGCGCGGCCCTGACGCAGGGTGAGTTCCTACGCGGACGGGGAGGGGGGAGGCTGCCGGGGGGGCGCCTCGACGTGTACGATGGTGACCGCCCTGATACTGTGGCGCTCACGCTGCGCGGCCCTGACGCAGGGTGAGTTCCTACGCGGACGGGGAGGGGGGAGGCTGCCGGGGGGGCGCCTCGACGTGTACGATGGTGACCGCCCTGATACTGTGGCGCTCACGCTGCGCGGCCCTGACGCAGGGTGAGTTCCTACGCGGACGGGGAGGGGGGAGGCTGCCGGGGGGGCGCCTCGACGTGTACGATGGTGACCGCCCTGATACTGTGGCGCTCACGCTGCGCGGCCCTGACGCAGGGTGAGTTCCTACGCGGACGGGGAGGGGGGAGGCTGCCGGGGGGGCGCCTCGACGTGTACGATGGTGACCGCCCTGATACTGTGGCGCTCACGCTGCGCGGCCCTGACGCAGGGTGAGTTCCTACGCGGACGGGGAGGGGGGAGGCTGCCGGGGGGGCGCCTCGACGTGTACGATGGTGACCGCCCTGATACTGTGGCGCTCACGCTGCGCGGCCCTGACGCAGGGTGAGTTCCTACGCGGACGGGGAGGGGGGAGGCTGCCGGGGGGGCGCCTCGACGTGTACGATGGTGACCGCCCTGATACTGTGGCGCTCACGCTGCGCGGCCCTGACGCAGGGTGAGTTCCTACGCGGACGGGGAGGGGGGAGGCTGCCGGGGGGGCGCCTCGACGTGTACGATGGTGACCGCCCTGATACTGTGGCGCTCACGCTGCGCGGCCCTGACGCAGGGTGAGTTCCTACGCGGACGGGGAGGGGGGAGGCTGCCGGGGGGGCGCCTCGACGTGTACGATGGTGACCGCCCTGATACTGTGGCGCTCACGCTGCGCGGCCCTGACGCAGGGTGAGTTCCTACGCGGACGGGGAGGGGGGAGGCTGCCGGGGGGGCGCCTCGACGTGTACGATGGTGACCGCCCTGATACTGTGGCGCTCACGCTGCGCGGCCCTGACGCAGGGTGAGTTCCTACGCGGACGGGGAGGGGGGAGGCTGCCGGGGGGGGCGCCTCGACGTGTACGATGGTGACCGCCCTGATACTGTGGCGCTCACGCTGCGCGGCCCTGACGCAGGGTGAGTTCCTACGCGGACGGGGAGGGGGGAGGCTGCCGGGGGGGCGCCTCGACGTGTACGATGGTGACCGCCCTGATACTGTGGCGCTCACGCTGCGCGGCCCTGACGCAGGGTGAGTTCCTACGCGGACGGGGAGGGGGGAGGCTGACGGGGGGGGCGCCTCGACGTGTACGATGGTGACCGCCCTGATACTGTGGCGCTCACGCTGCGCGGCCCTGACGCAGGGTGAGTTCCTACGCGGACGGGGAGGGGGGAGGCTGCCGGGGCGGCGCCTCGACGTGTACGACGGTGACCGCCCTGATACTGTGGCTGTGAGTTCTTAGGGAAACTTATAATGATTATTGTTATAGTTATTCTATCTTGGTCTTAGAGCATGCTCTAAAATCTTGGTTAACTACCAACCAATGAAATGTTTGCTGCTGCTTTGTTACTGCTGTACATATAACGCAACTGAGTGCACGCTCCTCACCTTTATATCGCCAGCTTGATGTGTTGATGGCTGCATCAGAGTACAAACAAATCTGAGTTTTGCCAGTAATAGTGATCATGGCCTTTGTCATAATTAATAAGTGAAACTAGAACTTTTTTTGGAAAGTGATCAAGGAAGCTTAAAATTTTCAATTTACTTTATATTCTATTAATCATCTAGCAGAGTAACTAGGATTGTTGTCAACTTAACGTTTTGTTCATTGTGGATATACAGTTTCTTTTTTATAATTTGTTTGCATGAAAATCTGTATTACCTTCTTATCTATGCGTTTAAGTTATATTCGTGACTAATTGTACAATAACCTCTTCAATATCAGAATGCTGGAGGTGAACGAACTGGGTGAGGTGTTCCTGCGCGGCGACATGGTGTCCGCGCTCAACTCCTCCGTGCTGCACGCGCTCGCTACTGCTCAGGACTCCGGGCACCCGCCCCGACAGGTCACCATTATACTGCGTACATTATTACACGCAACAACCCTCGTACATTGACTCACGCGGCGACATGGTGTCCGCGCTCAACTCCTCCGTGCTGCACGCGCTCGCTACTGCTCAGGACTCCGGGCACCCGCCCCGACAGGTCACCATTATACTGCGTACATTATTACACGCAACAACCCTCGTACATTGACTCACGCGGCGACATGGTGTCCGCGCTCAACTCCTCCGTGCTGCACGCGCTCGCTACTGCTCAGGACTCCGGGCACCCGCCCCGACAGGTCACCATTATACTGCGTACATTATTACACGCAACAACCCTCGTACATTGACTCACGCGGCGACATGGTGTCCGCGCTCAACTCCTCCGTGCTGCACGCGCTCGCTACTGCTCAGGACTCCGGGCACCCGCCCCGACAGGTCACCATTATACTGCGTACATTATTACACGCAACAACCCTCGTACATTGACTCACGCGGCGACATGGTGTCCGCGCTCAACTCCTCCGTGCTGCACGCGCTCGCTACTGCTCAGGACTCCGGGCACCCGCCCCGACAGGTCACCATTATACTGCGTACATTATTACACGCAACAACCCTCGTACATTGACTCACGCGGCGACATGGTGTCCGCGCTCAACTCCTCCGTGCTGCACGCGCTCGCTACTGCTCAGGACTCCGGGCACCCGCCCCGACAGGTCACCATTATACTGCGTACATTATTACACGCAACAACCCTCGTACATTGACTCACGCGGCGACATTATGTCAGCGCTCAACTCTTAAGTGCTGCACGCGGTCGCTACTGCTCAAAACTAGGGTCATTCGTCCAGATAGGTAACCGTAGAACTTATTATGTATAGAGAACATAATTACACGCTGCAAACCCTGGAACATTGGCTGGGCGAGGACACGGTAGTTGATACCGTGTCCTCTGAAGTGTACGCGCTCACCACTGCATTTAAGCACAGGTAAGCATTACATTAAATTTGCTGCGTAAATATGGTACTTGCTTTGTCTCTGTCTTCGTTTCAATTAGGTATTTTTTTTTATCTCTCTGACTATTCTGCTACAGATTGTTAATGATGAAACGCTTGCTGCTCTTTTTAAAAACCTAATTGTTTGACACGCATGAAAAACGGACGTCTGCTTAGAGGCAAGTTCTGTTCGAGCGAAACATCGAATGTTTAGTCGTTAAAAGTTAATAATGCAATTCATGTATCGGTCCGGACGGGAGCCGTACACAATTTATACCGAATTTTCCCAGAAGAGTGTACTCCACACTATGTTTGTAATGTAACATGTACACCTGTATGCGCAGACGTCAGTGCCGGTGCTAGTGCACGTAGGCCCGCGACTGCTGGCGGCGAGCGGCGGCGGGGCGGGGGGGGCGGGGGGAGGCGGCGGCGTGCTGGTGCCATTCGCGTGCGCGCTGGCCGCGCTGGCGCTGCTCGTGTGTGCTCTACTCCTCTATATATACCGCAAGTTAGTACACGCTCCGTACCATTAGGCGCTTTGCAGACGACGGGGCGGGGCGGGCCGGTCAATTTCGTCGCGAGTAATAGCACAAAGTGAATCCTATACTTCAAACGCACACAGAGGGCAAAAAGACCGCGCCTTGGGTGCCCGGCGCGGCATGTCCGCGGCTGCCCGCCGTGGATCATACAAACCAGTTTATATGCAGTAACGCAGACGGCGGCGCGGGGCGATCAGCTCAGTCCGCGCCACGCGCTTATTAGTGATGGACTATTCACTAGAACGAACGTCCTGAACTGACCGCCTCTGCCCGTCGTGTGCTTTGTGTACGCGGCGCGGGCAGCCGCAGACATCGACGGGCAGACGCGGTCTTTATTGCTTCGCGGACAAAAAGCCCGCCCCGCCCCGTCGTCTGCAAAGCGCCTTAGATTCATCGTTAGCTTTCTTATGTCCCCGCTGCTGAAGGTTTACTATAATAATAATAATAACTTTATTTATTTTTCTCCTACCTACATTTTATGTAACATGTAGATTACATGTTACATCTTATAATTTAAACAATATTTGTATATTTCATAAGATTGCGAGAGACTGGTACCTGAATTGAGCGAAAGCTTGTATCTCAGTGCAGTTATCTTAACAACGCAAGTTTCTACATATAAAAATACCTGTAGGAGAACATATAACATACCACATATATCGAAATAATGACTTGATTGACAATGATCGGTAGAGTGAAGACAAATTTATATTTAGTTAATTACAAAACACATTTTTATGGAAGAAGCAAAGAGTTCTACGTTGTCACAGTTAGTATAATGGACTTTCAAATCCACTACTAGAAAAGAACACTACGCAAAAACACGATTTGAACCTAAGTTACATACAATCATACATTAATTTATATGCACTTCCTAGAAGATTGTTACTTTATAGCTTCAACATCAGACGATGTATTTACTTGATGAAGTGATAAAATATAGGATGTGGAATAGAGAGATCGGGTCATGACCCCCTACTCAGGCCCGATGCGGATCGGTGGCTGCTAATGTCTGCAAGTGCAGCCAAGACCGAATAACTTAACGTACTTTGCACCTTGCTCAAAAGTCATAGTTGCATAGTTTTTTGATTTTCCCATTAGATGACCTTTACGAAAGTCGCTAACTTCCACAGTTTCAGACTGACGCGCTGACCACCGGCGCTTTCGAGCTCAAATTCAAATTCAAATTCAAATGCTTTATTGTGAAATGTAGGTTAGTACAGCAAATTGGTGTTAGGACAAAAGTTTAGTGTCACTACATTTCGACCTTATTACAAGGTATACAATATTTTTTATGAAATAATTAGGTGTACAATTATATAAAAATGGATGCGTGTAACTTATGTACGCGCGTGAGAAGTTATACTTCTTTAGCATCATTAAAAATATTTTTTAATTGCATGCATATAATTAATAATTACAATAAAATAATAAAAGGACTGGAAAAGGATAGTTAACACAGTCAATTAAGTTCAGTTTTAATTTGAAAAATTAAATAAATATTCAAAATATTCAATTAAAATCACTACTGAATTTAAGTTATTAGTCCATTAAGTAATTAGCACTTGTAAGTAACTAAAACACGTTGTGTCTATATAGAAACTAGAAACATGTGGATAAATATTATAAATATGAAAACAGTGATCAGAGGCGACGAGCGTGCCAACATTGTTTTTGACAACGCGATCATCTTATGGAGCTCCGTGGATCGTTCAAAGTACCTTTCGAACAAAAATTCATAACGCGCCCGCGGCCAACTTCATGGTGTTACTATTGTGTTACAGTGATGCGCGCGCATCTCGAAATTCCACTCACATGATATTTTCATAACGCGCCCGCGGCTAATTTCATTATGTTACTTTTGTGTTATAGTGATGCGCGCGCATCTTAAAATTTCACTCTCATATTTTTTTTCATAACGCGGTTAAAGAAGTATAACTTCAAAAATCCATATTAATAAATTACAATTACAATAAAACAAGTCATAGTTAGAATTAAATGTCAAAATTACTAAGCAATATGTCATACTAATAAAAATAATAAATTGTGCTATAATAGACTAAAATAAATATAAGTTAATTACGTAATTATGGCCATTTCTTTCAAGGAAGTATCACTAAGGAACTCTTGCGTATTATAGTATACTTTGTCAATTAATAGTTTCATTAAGCGTTTCTTAAACATAGTCATTGGCAAACTCTTTATATTATTACCTGGCCACCAAGCCAAGTTTCCTTGCTGATAGGGCTACGAATCCTTTCGTAACCGGCACGTCAGTAACTACAGTGTTACTGGTGTTGCTTGATAGTCCACTAAATTCACACACCACTGTATTCCAATGTTCACTGTTCATTCACCTCAAAAATCACGATATTACGCGCGCGAGGTATAGCTCGAAGGACCATATGTTAGTGCCTGAGCTTAGTGGATGTTAAAATAATAAAGTTGTTACCGAAAATAATTACGTGTTTATTGTTTGTTCACAAAATGTTCTTAAAATACTATAATAATGTATGTTAATGAGTGCGTTCGCTTATGCATCGAAATCTACACTAATTTATATTTGCACCGCGGCTAATGACCTAAATTAGGCCAGGCGCCGTGACGGTGTTAAGTATTGCAAAATAATTAATAAGCAAAATATAAATTTTCGGTTATGCACCGAACAGGGTATTTTGTTAAAAATTGTAGTAGCCATCCCAAAGACACTATTGCTAAATAGTGCAGTTTTACGTTCCATTGCACATAATGTATTCCCTATCCCTCGTCTATAGTTCCTATGCGAATTCTGTTCTATAAATGTAGGAAACATATGGAAGTTATTTTTGACGAACACTGCAACTTCATAAATATATAAGGAAGGTAATGCTAATCAGTGTTGCCAGGTCCGATTTTTAAAAATCGGGAGGTGTTATAGAAAAAAACAGTAGATGCAGAGGCGTACTTTTCCGATTGCACCCCCCCCCCCCCCCTAGAATTGGTAAATCAAATCAAATAAATACCATCAACGAATGTATTGTCCTCAAAGCTAGCTAGTTATTTTTTAGACAATAACATTTATTTTATAATTATTAAGGTTACCTACATTATTAATGACGGAAAACGCAACTCAACATACGATTTCATAAAGAAAATCGTATTCTAAGAAAAACAGGAGATTCATGTAGAAAAACAGTAGAACAGGAGAAATTTCAGAAAAACAGGAGATCTCCTGTAAAATCTGGAGACCTGGCAACATTGATGCTAATGCTCCTCACCCTTAGGTCGAAGTGAAACCAGCTGGTCCTAGGTTCCCCTCCGGCGTAGGACCGCCAGCACCTGTCGGAGCACGTATCCCTGTCCTCTCACTTCTTATCTATTAACATTGTATTTTATTTATTTCTTTATACTTTATTGCACAAAAGTATGTACAAGTGGCGGACTTAATGCCATTAGGCATTCTCTACCAGTCAACCGGTGAATTTTAGCAAAAATCTTAAGGTAGTGCAAAAAGAATTCATCAAATTACGTATTATATTTTTATATCTATGGAAACAAGATAATATATATATACTATATAAAATACATATGTATAAACATACATAAATAAATAAATATATATATATATATATATAAATAACAATAAATATTTAGATATATACATGCAAATCTATATCATATCAGGAGGATACGGCGGAGGAATCTAATAAATGATGACGTACGGAGCGTTTAAAAGCCAGTTTGTTCGGAGCATATCTTGATATATATAATTCTTCTGTGAGTGTGTATGTCACTGAACTTCTCTTAAACGACTGGACCGATTTTGATGAAATTTTTTGTGTGTGTTCAAGGGGATCTGAGAATGGTTTAGATTCACAATTTTGTCCGCTGGACAACCCCTATTTTTTTAGGGCGGTACGAAGTTCGCTGGGTCAGCTAGTATTATATATATTATTGACATATATATATTTTCAGTAAAAGGAGATCAAAAGCGGCAGCAGAAGTACAGAGTAAAACGAGCAGCGGGTTCGTCAGCCACGAGAAGCCCCGCTCGTCGTCAGGGGCGGGTGTGGGGGCGGCCACAGTGGGGGGCGCGGGGGAAGGCGGGGTCGGGGGCGCGGGTGGGGGCGCGGGTGGGGGCGCGTCGGGCTCGCTGCTGAGTGTAAGCGCCGGCGCCAGCACTATCCTCGCCAACTCCACCTCCAGTCTGGATCTGAGAGCTGCTGAAGCAGTACCGGGTAAAGGCTTCAATTATTTAGAAACAAACAAATGAAGGTTTCTGATGAATCTTCATTATGTACATAAATTCCATATTTCCACACTAGTAAACTCGAGTGTCTGTCCACCTGTCTGCTTCCTCTTTATAATGAAACCGATTGTGTTTTTGGTTTAAAGGTAATTTAAGTCTCAAGAAAGGACATGAGATGATTTACGAGAGTAAATAAAGTTCACGACATAGGATACTTAATTCTTCTCTCCCTCTTACACCTTATCATTTTTCCCGTAACTAAAACCAGATTAATATCAAATTGATTTAAATAAGTTGAGCGTTTTAAGCGTAAAGATGTAACAAACGGATATTCCTTTGCATCCATAAGATTTTTCTGAAAGTCAATATTTCCATACAAACCTTTTCACAAATCTTTTCCTACATCGTATTTGTTCCTCGAACAGTAACAACGAGCGGTCGCCAGTCGCAGCGTTTCACTAGCAAGAGTAAGGTAGCGCCTCTCCCGGCGACGGCGGGCGACGGCGGCGTCTCCCTCATGAGCGACCACCTGCGGCCCACCAGCCCCGGCCGCTCCGGGGTCGCCTGGCCCGCGCACACTATACCCGCGCGAGTCAAACAACTGTCCTGGGACGAGAGGCCCCAGGTGAGACGTGCCCCGCCCAGCTATTCCAACAACGAACAAAGAGATTTGGTAACTCATGTCTTTGTCGCACTATCTGCAAATAGAATCCTTTGCCCGCTCACGGGTTTCCTCCCTCCTATAACCTGGAGAGCTGTATAAGAGGCACGCTAGATGAGGTAGACTGATATGACAGGTTAAACTGTTGCAGAGCTATGTTCGTATCTGGTCTCCACCGTCACTTAACCTCAGGTATGATAGAATCATTTGTTTGAATCTTTATATGAAATACAAACTGGAACACCTGGCAAATACACAAAAACCAGCGTGAGTCAAACAACTGTCAAACACATAGGACGCGGCGGGCCCAGCTGGAACACCTAACAACATCTAAGCAACTATTCTGACGGTTGCCAAGAATAATGATGAATAATTCTCGTTATAATAAATAAATATTTCCAACACTCACACCAATTAGCCTAGCCCCAAAGTAAGCACTGAAAGGCTTGGGTTAGGGTAACGGATAAGAATACATATACAGTACATATATAAGTATATTTCTATACAAATTAATATTTAACATCCATGACTGAAGTACAAATGCTCGTATTCATCACACAAACATCTGCCCCCACCGGAATTCGAACCTATTCGTTATATCTAAGTAATATTCACTAACGAAAATTCAAGCAAAGTGTAGGATACCATTGCACTCCATGCATTATGCTGCCACACGGCACATTACATCAAGTGTACGTTTGCAGGGCAGCGGGCCGGAGGGGACGGTGACGGACGCCACCAACGCCGCCCTCGCCGACCACATGAACCTCACCGTCTACTTCTGACCGACCACACGCAACACACCGCCAACGAGGAACCAACCCAACACGAGTACATACCACTACAGAATCTGTCTAAACACCACCTAGTTACCGATTCGCAATTCACTAACCTTTTCCCGAATATTACATCTCCGCACGTGAGTGATCCACCGACAAATCAGCACCCGAAGACAAACTATACTCCTCGAGACGGTAACGTTGTCCAAATGCGTACACAAGCTTCTCCGGGCGAAATGAATTCGGCAAAACTTGTTCCGGAAAACCACAACTTTCATAAGAAGCAACACCCGAAAAACTCGGGCGTTGAATCGAATCAAACTCATTATGCCCCTATAACTCCAAATGCGACGCATCCGTTCTCGGTGAAGTCTTTTCCGCCGAACCACTATCCTGTAGAGATAGTCCCGATCCAAGTAGTGTCTCCCCGCCACAGATCGCCGATCAAAAAGCAAATGAAGTCCAAAACCCCAAAACCCTTACCACCGTCCACCAAACGCGTCGCTCCGACCATGAGGCCTGAACCGATCGCTTACATTCCAGTACAAATGAACCATCCACCCTTAAATCCGGAATTCCTTGCGATGGCTTCGAAACAAAGCAACAAACCTAAGGTTCCGAAAAGGCCAACTCCTCCAGGGAGAGCTCCTTTGGAATACATCTCGATCCCCATCGTGGGGAACCCGAGTCACTATCAGGCCAGGCTGGGGCCACAATCTCATTCCAACCAAGTCTCCAATCATGCGCTTCCTTACGACCGAGCCCCCAGTGCTCCGAGGCTGTCGACCTCATCTCTAGAACCTTCCATGGAGGGGCCTGCTTTCGCGAGCATCGACCCTCGCAAACTCAGAGCGCATCGGGTCAGCCCTCTTATCTTCAACAGAAACTACCAAAGGTACAGAATGATGTGATCTTAGATAAGTATTGATCTAAGGTTGTGATGTGATACGTCCATGGAAGTGGTGTTACCATTTGAAACAAAGTGCAATAATTACATTGATCTCATGTTTATGTTCCTGTGCTGATTTTTCGGCGGGTGTTACTGCTGGAAGTTTTATTGTGTAACTTAACAATTTCCATCAGTGTTACCAACCCTTACCAAAATTTTACCCTAAGTATTTTTTAAATTCCCCTAAAATCTCCTAAATTTAGAAATTTATATGTACCTACTTATCTTATTACCTAAATTCTTTCGTTGCTCATAAATTAAAACGTTACATATTTAGTTACAGTAAATTATTTTATTGAATAAATACATTTTCCGAATGGAAAATCAAACGAAAGTAACGAATAGGTTGTTAAATCTTATTTCGCTGTTTTGATTGGTGGAAGGCAAAGAACTTTAGTCCATACAGCCTTAGAAAACAACCTGCCACACAGTGAATTCAGTCGTTTCATATCGTGGTGCGTTCCATTCTACGCACAAAACTGAAAGAAAACACACGCTTTGTTTTTCGATTTAATTGCAAATTTTTGTTAAAAGCCCCTAAAAGAACCCCCAAAAAATTCCAGTCCCTAAAAAAGTCCGTTTTAAAACCCCTAAGTTGGAAACCATGATTTCCATCTCTTTGCATTTGATAAGAAAGTTATATTAATTCGCAGCAGTAAGGAGAAATTGTATGGTATCAGCGATGTATTACGAATATAATGAAATTGTAGTTACACAATAAGTGCTTCTGCCGATTTTTTGATCGGTTGGTTAGTCAAATAAAATGTTGTTATTGAAATAACAAATTTCTACCTCAACTTTATTACTATTTTTGTGGTGTTGGTGTCGGTCTGTGTAGATTAAACGGTTTGTTAACAGCAATGTGTTTTGACAGTCATAAATGCTGTGCGGTAAGAAAAGGCGCTTTTGTGTGATGTGAAGGCATAGTCTTTAGAAAGAAGTTGTTCAACACACTTCGTAACTGTGTGTTTCGTAGCTTCTCTATGTTTATTGTGTAAGAGGACTTTGAAATAAAGTAGTTTATAGTAGACGTTATGAATACTTCGATACGTAACGTAGGTAAAAGTCGCAGCACGGAACTTTAGCGCTGTACGTTACCACGGTAATATTATCTGTACAGTATTGTGACTCCGCCCTGTCCTTGAAATAAATGCCTACGGCCGAGCGGGGCGTATCCACGCAGTAGGATATTAATTTCATTCCGCCTACAGTATTTTAATTTCATCTACATAATTGAGTTTCTTTCTAGTTTTGCGATTGTAAATTTTTTATTTCATATGTAAAAAAATTTTGAGAATGAATTAGGAGTTGTTACATAAAATACAAGTTATTTTAAGTGTAATATTTAATAATAATAAAAAACGATTGAAGACAGAAAAATAATTACACCTCGACTGAGACGTACGAACAGCTATATTATTAAATTTAATAGTATAATAAAAACGCATTCGTATAAAAAATTCAATTATTGAAAAATTCAAAGAGTTCAAGCAACCAAAAACAGCACAATATCGACTATTGCTCTTTGCCATATTAAATTATGTAGGTATCTACTTAAATCAATTAAATAATCACAATACAAACGTTTAAGCACGGCTAACTGCTTAAAGAACAATTTACACGGCTCGGTCGCCGCTGCGACGCATTCGCGACTGGGTGCCCACCGGGTGCCGCGCGAACTCGAGCGGCGTAGGTATGACACGCTTTCCGACCGTGTGTTAGTTAGTTAGTTAGTTTTTCAGGGCGGTTTCCGCACCTAGTCCTAATCATTGGACCATTGTGCATGTCTTGAAACATTCCCGTTTACTCCAGCCAGCCTAGGTTAGTCCAGAAGGAAAGCAGTCTTGACAGACTGCTGCAAGCTTCCGGAAGCGATGCGGGTGACTGGAGAAGTCGTGCCCGTTGGTCGGCCACACTCCTGCATTCCATAATGACATGTTGTGGCGTTTCCTCTGCCTCCATACATCCTCTGCATAGGGGGCTGTCTGTTACTCCTAATGTGTATAGGTGCTTGTTCAGGGGACAATGACCAGTCAGGGTTCCCATGACTATGCGGAGTTTGTCCCTATTAAGTCTGGTAAGGGTGCGGGCAAATCTCTTGTTTGCCTCCGGAACTGCGTTTTTCGTTTGCCGGCATCCTTCACCTGTTTTCCACTCAGTCCGACCGTTTGTATGAAGATAGAATACTGTATGATATTATTACCGTGACGTTACTGCGCAGACATCAAAATTTAGATGTGTTGGGGGGGAACGAGGTGCGCGGGTGGGCGTGCGTTGCGCCGATTGGCTCTCCAGTCGTTCCCACGCGCAGAAGCTATCCCTGGCGGGTTTTTTGTTTAGCGCTAGAGTTACATGCCGAGACCTGGGGGCCAATCGCCTAACGGAAATGCTTTGGAAAACGCTAACGCTTACGATTTTATTTTGTTATTTCTAGCCGCCTGAGGTATTCAAATGCCTCGCGCTCTTTCTTTTTCTTTTGCATTGGTAATAACAATATTAAAAAAAAAAGCGTGAGGTATTCGAAAACCTCAGGCGGATAGAAATAACAATATAAAATCGTAAGCGTTAGCGTTTCCCAAAGCATTTCCGCTAGGCGATTGGCCCCCTGTATATGTAGCTGTGAGCAACATGGGTGGTGTCGCGTGGACTGTATGTCTTCCTCATTCTTCTACCATGGCCTGAAAGTGTTTTGTACTTTTACAACTATATTTGTATGTGTAAATTGAGTATTTTTTTTATTTAAAAAACGTGGACTATTTGACGAATAAAATTTGTAAATATGATTGTCTTAAATGTATAAAAAATGTAATGAACGTTTTTAACTCTTTTTTAAGGAGAAAGCTTAATTTGTTGGAAAACCGTCGAAACTACGCAATAGGTACATTATTCTACAGCAACTATTATGACAGGAAAAATTCAACAATATGTACTTACTAATGATAATTTATATTATTACAAACTTGAAAGTTACGTTACCTTAAATTTGGTAATGTTATCGTACTTACGTTAGAGTAGATACGCATATAATCGGGCCAGCATAGTCATCATCATCATCATCAGCCTATTAATGTCCCCACTGCTGGGGCACAGGCCTTTCCTATGGATGGAATAGGGAGATTGGGCCATGACCCACCACGCGGGCCCAGTGCGGATTGGCGGGTGCTAACGACTGCAGATGCAGCCGGGACCAACGGCTTAACGTGCCTTCCGAAGCACGGAGGAACTCGAGATAGATGTTTTTGGTCACCCATCCAATGACCGACCACTGCGAAAGTTGCTTAACTTCAACCATCGCAGCTGAACGCGCTAACCACCTGCGCCATCGAGCTCCTCGCAGCATAGTCGCTTCGGCAGTATTTGTCAAAAAACAAACGTAGTAATTACTGGCGAAAACTCATCTACACTGCCGATGGCTGTGCCGATTAATGTCCGCCCGTTTACGTGTGTAGCTACCCTTGAATTTAATACACGTTATATCATGATAATTAAACATTTAATGTATATTCTTTTGGCATAAATATGATGGTAGAAAAAGTTAATTTTTAGATTATTTCATGACTTAATTACTATTTATCGTTATACATAAACAAAAATACTGTACAAAGGCTCATTTAACTGCGATGGAAATAACTGTTATTATATTTTTTGTTGATGCTATATATGGGTTTCATTTCATTCCATTCCAAATCCTTATATTTGAACTCAATAAAAACCTCATACATAAAATTATAATGATTTTTGGTGACATCAATTATCAAAGAAAGCTCTACTCTCTTTCTCTGAAACGAAATTTCGGCAACGAACGAATTTTAAACGAAATTTCGCCAGTGACTCTGCTCTATTTCATCTTCGAACACGCACATAAAGTTCGGAATCACAGACAATTATCGTGAACGAATGGAATGAGTTATGTTTGTGAGTTCTTTTTGTCTACACTTTTTAGATAACGTTTTTTACTTCAAAACAATATTACTTTATGACAACATATTTGATTACATTAAAACAACCTCCTTCGACAGTGTTAGCCACAGACAATAGTATTATATGTCTGTGGTGT